ATATCCTTCTGCAAAAGCAAAACAAAAATCAGTACGTCCCTCGAATCCAAGAATAAATAAATCAAGAAGTCGGAAAGAAAACACACATTTATCCCTCGGCACTTTGGGGCAGTACAATCCGTCATACTCAGGCCCGATCCCTTTCTCCCAACTACCGCCGAGCATGATCAAATTGTCTACATATCCCTTGTCCAAGTCAAGCATGTAGGTTATCAAGTACATTGAGGAATCTCGAGCCTGGAGGTAATATTGCCCCCTGGCAACGAGTCTTAGGTCGTAGCATAATAAAATTTCGTCTACCCCTAAGTTAGTCTCCAGCCGAGTGTTTAAGGTGACTACGCTCATCACAATCCTAAAGAAGTTAACCCCATATTGAAGGGGAAAAATTTTTAGTTACATCAAGACTCCTAGCAACAGGGGATGAAGGGGGAAGGTCAACCCTCCTTCCATAATGGCCTTCTTCTAGAAAGGCGTCATGTCTACATTTCCCATATCCCTCCTATGGTGAGTGGGGTTAANTCTCCCAACTACCGCCGAGCATGATCAAATTGTCTACATATCCCTTGTCCAAGTCAGGCATGTGGGTTATCAAGTACATTGAGGAATCTCGAGCCTGGAGGTAATATTGCCCCCTGGCAACGAGTCTTAGGTCGTAGCAGAATAAAATTTCGTCTACCCCTAAGTTAGTCTCCAGCCGAGTGTTTAAGGTGACTACGCCCATTACAATCCTAAAGAAGTTAACCCCACATTGAAGGGGAAAGAACTTTAGTTACATCAAGACTCCTAGCAACAGGGGATGAAGGGGGAAGGTCAACCCTCCTTCTATAATGGCCTTCTTCTAGAAAGGCGTCATGTCTACATTTCCCATATCCCTCCTATGGTGAGTGGGGTTGAAGGGAAAAGCGAAGACAGGCTCACGGATGTGGTACCTAACCCTAAATACTTGGATATTTTCATCTGTCACTTGGGTTCTCCTCATCTTGTGGGTAGTACTAGCCCTAACAGACATTTTTCCCGTGGTTCTACTAGTTCTAGCCATTGGTGGGCGCTAAGAGGACGAAATATAGAGGAAATGAAGAGGAAAAAAGCTCAAGTGGAAGTACTTATAAGAGGGTGGTCTTCAAAGAGGGCTCGGAGGATGAAGGAAACTCGGAGGATAGGAGAGCACTCGGGGGTCTGACTGCTGAGGAGAGATTGAGGATGCAAAAGTTCTGAGAAGGTAGAAAAACCTCCTATTTATACTGCCTCACAGGGAGCGAGAATCTAAAAGTTGGCTCATCATTAGGGCATTTGAAAAGGGCGGCACAAGACGTGCAAGTAACCTTCGTCATTAATAAGGCATGATGATGGAGCCCCGATCTCTTTACGCCACTAGTTCTTGTGTTGCAAAAAGGATTGCGGTTAGGGGGCAGTTGGCGGGACTCCAGTGCGGCTCTTCAGCCCCTGAGTTGACACGTTGAATAATGAAGCCGTTGGGATGTCCAAAGGATGCCGAGGAGGTAAGCTGAGGTATGGTGACACGGAGCAGCCGAGTACAACAGCTGACATCGTATTTAATGCGATGTGACCTCACATTTATGACGAAATGAGTGATAGTGACAGGACAAATAAATACGCGCCTGCAAGCAACTGCCCTCTGGAAGTCTAAGCCTACTATCATGATGGTTAAGCATTAATGACTGATGCGCCGAGATGACACATCAGCTCTCTTGAGGAACTGTTCCGCCGAGTATTCAATACTCAGTTGGTGTCAGATATCGACTTAATGGATTTGGTTATTTGGGGAGTGGCATAAGTGCTCGGCGGATGGCCGAGCTTTTTTCCCATTTTTCTAGCATTCAATAAGAGGAGACGTGAATAGGAAACACTCACTGCACGAGGAATGGTGTGTCTGATGTGAAGATGTCCAGATGAGACTGAAAATCTTTGACAATCATTGCTAATTCAGGTATAAATATTCCTTAGAAAGATGGATAAAGGTACGCAAACTCGAACCAGAAAAAGTCCATTAAGCAAAATCCTTCGATCTTATACTGACTTAAACTTCGGAGGAGATTAGCCGAGCACACGCCGGACCCCCTTTTTACCCTGACCCAGTTGTTTCAGGTTCATCGATTGAGAGTTCGCTGCCTCACACAATTGCAGAAATTATCCCCTGCACTTACCTTAACTTTGGCAACTTCCTTGTTGGTTTGTCACCACCTCTGATTCCTTAGGATAGCCCGGGTATCTTTATTATAAGTTACTCCGAACAAAGCCCTTACTATTCTTACTGCTCGGCCTTGGCTACAACTTGGTTATGTTAAAAACTCAATGCACTTTTGATATCTGCTCGGTTGATCGTGGCGTTGGTTCAACTAGCAAGCTTCTAGCTTTAGGGAGGAGCATTCTACTTCACCCACGCGCCTTTCATGTGTGACCTTTTCTCACATGCCTTGGCGCATGTGACTTTATTAATTAGTCTAATAGTGTACGTAATTATGCCTCTTCAAATTACATAGGTCAATGGTTCACGATTGAACAAACAAAATTGAATCCGTTGTGGTGAATTCATAGTCGAGTGCATTGATCCACTTCACTACATTCACCTCTATCCTAATTGATGTTAGAAAAAATAATAGGTAAACATCATTAGAATTACTCAAAAATACTTAAAACCTATATAGTCGGGTAGATTTACAATCCAAAAAAATTTTGGGGTTCGTTTAAAATTTTAGAGAATTTACAATAATTTATCTCTTTGACCCCACTGTTTTTTTCTTTTGATCAAACTACAATCATTCACACTAATAGTGTGAGGGCAATAGCAGACATATAAACACACACATTCCCTAAAGTTATCCGATGTGGGATAGCCCCAGCCCCCACCCTCCCGGGTACTGTGGCTCCAGAGACACTTGTCTCAAAGAGGAAGGCTGCCCCACTGTTGAAGTCTGGTAATTTGAACTTGTTTTAAAGATGATTTGCAGAAGCTTGTGTGTGCTCATCCATGGAGGTTTAAGGGCTGTTTTCCAATTCGAACAAAAGGTTGAAGATGCTTTGCGGTTAATAAATTTTCTTGGTTAATAAAAACATATATAATAGAGCAGCTGTGCCTATAAGTAGTGCAATATTTTTCTAAAATTGTTTTGTATCTTTCTAGGGCATGTTTTGAATTTTCTTGAATATTATGTTTAAAAAAATAAATAAATAATTTTATATTTTAGAGAATAAGTACAATTCTCTCTTAAAGTTAAAAAAAAAAAATTAGACTTAAAAATATCCTCATGTTTATGTTTTTTCCTCTGCTGTGACACACCAAGTCACAGGTTTAATCCTCCTCAAATAACCAGTAGTAGAGTCAAAATTTTTGTCTAGGTGGACACTTTACTTAGAAACTTTAATTTTTTTTCTCCCAATCAATAAATATAAAATAAATGTATTTAAATTTTTAGATACTTAAAGATTCATAAAATTCAAAAATTATCAAATATCGATAAATATAATGTATACAAATTAAAAAAAAAAAGACTAATTACAACCCTTCACAACAAATAAGAGTAACTGTATAAAAGATATTATAGTCTTTTTCTATATAAGCAATTAACTTATTAGTCATTGATTATATTAGTGTTATAGTTTTTAATTTATTAATGTGACATAAGTTACCCCCACAGCAAAAAATTCCTAACTCTGTCCTTGTATATGGTAATGATAATTAAAAAAATTTGAGGGTGATCATGAACCCTCCTTTGGCTCCACCGGTGGCTATCTATGATTACATCCTTTCTGAACTCCCTAATTGAAACTCTAGCTTTGTTTGTTCTCACCCCTATTTTGCTCGATTAGAATCGAGTCACTAGGACTTTAATACTATATTATTATTGGTTTTTACAAAAGATTTTTTCGGTAATTGATAGACTCAAACTCAAACCTTTCGTAGAGTAACCTTGGACGACTATTGAATGTTGGTTTCAATTGTTTTGTTCAGGACTTTCTTGAATGGTCACAATCGATAAATTCAAAGTAAGTAAAATAATAATCAAGAAATTAACGAAAGAAAAAAAAACACTTTTATTAATCTCCGAAGATTTTTCGGTCACAACCGAATGATGAAATAGTCTGTGAAACTAATTTTATTCTAAAACTATTCCTAAAAATGCCAAGTCATGGGTATTTAATGAGTTTGATCATGTCTTTTTCTTTGCAATTAATGCGTCTTTTATAGATATCTCTTAATTGACGGTTACATTGACTTTTTGAGGCAATTTCCTCCCCCCCCCCTCCCCCTAATTTCTTCCTTATTTTAACATTTCTTTTTCAAATTTTTGGATCTCATATTAAGTGTTGACAACTTCTGTCTTTTCAAATTTTAGAATAACCGCTTCATTCTTTCTATCACAAGAGTTATAATTGCCATTGAATTTGAACATCACACATTGATCGGTTGTACACTAACCCTTTGTTCACTAAAATTATAGAATGTGAACAATTTTGCCAAAATTATAGAATACGGTCCAAACAGCTATTGAACCTATAGTTCATGAGGTCTAAATTCTAATCTTTCGTGTAGGATAATTGTCATCTTTAGCTTGCCAATCCATCCCTTACATCCAAGTATCGAATGTATAAAGTTCGGCCCAAACAACCCCCCTCCCAAAACCCACAGGCCAACATACTGGGCCATTTCTAAAAGCCTACGGGCCTGTACTGAGTGCACCCCACACGTTCAAAAAAATGCCCTACATGTGGCGGGAAAACGCACATGATGCGATTACTTCTTTGCCGCTAAAAAAATTCCCCTCCTCTCTGCGCAGACACGTTGTATACAGCAGCCAATAGCATTCACTGAATCTGAACACTTTGATTCCTCAAAAGTTACTACATGCCGACTATCGTTGCACATCGCTCGTCGCCGATNGCCGCTAAAAAAATTCCCCTCCTCTCTGCGCAGACACGTTGTATACAGCAGCCAATAGCATTCACTGAATCTGAACACTTGATTCCTCAAAAGTTACTACATGCCGACTATCGTTGCACATCGCTCGTCGCCGATGGTTGTCAAAGCTGAAAAAACCGGTGAGGCCCGGCCTAACGCAGACTCTACCTCTCAGAAACGGAGATTAAGATCTGATTCTGTTCTGAAAGACAGTCCGATCGCTTCGACGTCATCCCCGATGAAGTGGAAATCACCTCGCNGAGATTCTACCTCTCAGAAACGGAGATTAAGATCTGATTCTGTTCTGAAAGACAGTCCGATCGCCTCGACGTCATCCCCGATGAAGTGGAAATCACCTCGCAGATGCGCCGCTGGCAGCCCAAGAACTCCGGCAAATGTAAATTTAACACGTCACTTTTTACTTGTGATTCGAATCTTCTTTCACCGTGGTAATGCTGGATTNCAGACTCTACCTCTCAGAAACGGAGATTAAGATCTGATTCTGTTCTGAAAGACAGTCCGATCGCTTCGACGTCATCCCCGATGAAGTGGAAATCACCTCGCAGATGCGCCGCTGGCAGCCCAAGAACTCCGGCAAATGTAAATTCAACACGTCACTTTTTACTTGTGATTCGAATCTTCTTTCACCGTGGTAATGCTGGATTGATTAACATAATTTTTAGGTAAATGAGAATAATTCTGGAGATACAGTGGTCAAATCGAGCAAGTCACCAGTGAAAAAAAGATTGTTGGATGTTTTTTCAGATAAACCGATATGGAATCCCAGAGGCAAGTTGTACATCAAATTGTCATTATATTATTTTATTGTATTTACTTGTTTGGCGTAACCAACATCCTGTCCCCGACGTTCGGGCATTTAATTTTTGATTATTTGATTGTATTTTGATTCTAAATATGTTAGATATGGAGCAGTTGAGTGCAGTGAAGGAGACATTGCACGTATCCACGGCGCCTTCCATGGTTGTATGCCGGGAAGATGAGCAGAGAAGGGTTTTTGAGTTCTGCAAACAATGCATTGAACTAGAAAAGGCTGGGAGTTTGTATGCTTGTGGATGCCCTGGGACCGGAAAATCGCTGTCCATGGAAAAGGTTAAAGAGGCTTTGATTGATTGGGCGAAGAAGGTAACTCATTGCCTTAATTCTACGAATACGAAACAAGCACTGATGTAGGTCAATTACTGTATTTGATTCGTGTTTGAGACTTCTTTCCTTTATATGTTTTTTTGTAGTTTCAGGTTTCCTGTTTTTGCTGTAGGCCTGATTATATGTGTTTTATTTACTTTTAATAACAAAAATGAAGGGTGAAAATGCTAGAAGAAAATGACGCAAAGGTGTAATGTGGTTAGATCCTAATGTAATTTGGATCCTAATGCTTATATCTATACACAAAACTCAAATGAGCTGCATCTTTATTATTCTTACTTTATTGTTTGATTTGCAATTATCACCTTTATATAGGTCCAGTAATACACCACATGACATGACTCAGAATAAAATGGGGGAAATCACTCCTAAAATCTTTACTTATTGATTTTAATCAACTTGACCCAAAATCCGTTTATATTAAAACAATGTACAGTTGTTGATCTTATGGTTACATCATGTCTCTCCATTTCCATATGTTGCATTCAGGGCATTAGGAACTACCATCTAGATTCTAGTGAATGATTATAGGTTTCTACTAATAATCTTTCCCAAATTCTCAGACTGTAAAGAGAAGANGTTACATCATGTCTCTCCATTTCCATATGTTGTATTCAGGGCATTAGGAACTACCATCTAGATTCTAATGTATGATTATAGGTTTCTACTAATAATCTTTCCCAAATTCTCAGACTGTAAAGAGAAGACTAATTATTTCTGTAATTATATCTAAGAATTTTGGTAATCACATATTATTTCAATTCTTAAGGTAATAGTTCATACTTATTCTAGAATCAAGAATCATATGGTGTTTGAGGCTCCAAGTCTCCTTCTTAAAAATTATTTTCATTCTATGGTTACTTGTTTGTTAACTTGGAGTTTATTTTGGGGTAGCACAGTAGTTTGGCCAAGGTTTTGCTGAGTTGAGCAGAGTTGAGCTATTTGTAAGCTATGCTACTTCTATTTTGTAAATGATACTGCTAACCAATCATTTTACTCACTATCAGGCTGATATTCAGCCACCGGATGTATTATCCATCAATTGTACATCTCTTACAAACACTGCTGAGATTTTCAGCAAGGTACTGAAACCAACAGCAAATTAAATTAGATACCTAAACCCTCCAAGCCCACATATCCTCACATTCTGATAACTTTGGCAGATAGTTGGAAGAAATCAGGGGCGGAAGAAAACCAGTGGTTCTACAGCTCCTCTGCAGCATCTCCAGAACTTGTATTCTCAAAAGCAGCAGTCGCCTGGCATGAAGATGACGTAAGAAGCATACTTTTATTTATCTGTACTCATAGTCTCCACATCTACACATACTACTACTATTCTCCTAGCATTACCCATAGTACGTATGTTGCATCGCCTTAAATATGGGGAAAGATCTTTTTAATTCACCAAGTGTATTGTTGCTTATATATAAATTTCTGAGTGTCACTCAAATTATTTTCTAATTAATTAAATTTTATTTTTAACAGGCTGATTATTGCTGATGAGTTGGATTATTTGATTACCAAAGACCGATCTGTCCTTCATGATCTTTTCATGCTAACAACTTTGCCATTCTCCAGATGTATCTTGATAGGTATATAAATGGGAAATACTCTATCAAAAGTTTTTCTTTTGTGATTGTTCTAAACTGGTTAGATTTTCTGAGCGGACAACTCATTGTTGCACGAGTAGTTCTCATTCTGTCTTTATATTTCCAGGAATAGCTAATGCTATTGATCTAGCAGATAGATTTCTTCCAAAACTGCGGTCTTTGAATTGTAAGTATTTGTTTCTATCTGATATGTCTCTAGATTTTCCAGTTACTTTTAATTTTTGTCCTTTAACCAAGATTCTTCTTACCAATTTGAGATGCTGGACTTTGTTCCCGAATTGGATGTATTGTTATATATTAAGTTTTAAATCATTTTGTTCAATTAATATAACGACAAATTGGAACCAAAGTATGTCCATGAGTTATCGCTGATGAGGAAAAATTGTTGCAATTTCTGGTTGTTTGGCAATAATGAATAACGATATTCCTATTNTGTTCAATTAATATAACGACAAATTGGAACCAAAGTATGTCCATGAGTTATCGCTGATGGGGAAAAATTGTTGCAATTTCTGGTTGTTTGGCAATAATGAATAACGATATTCCTATTGACCGAATGTTCTAATTTATAAAGTAAATACCTCGTAAACCCAATTGGTTTATGGTTGCATCACTGACCTTGGGGTGCTAAGTTCTTCCCTTCCTTTCTTGCAGTATTACATGATTTCAAATCCTATTGTTTCTGGGCATTTCACTTTCTTGAAGACTTGAACATTTAGCAATAATTCTTGTTTTTTGTCCCTTATGATTTTGGAAGCATTGATCAGTGTTGTGTTTCCTATGAATTAATGTCACCCACCCTAGTATTCTTCAGCAAACAAATATACTCTACGGGCTTCCTATAACGTCACTAATGGTTGGTTTTTAATGCTTTCTTGTGCTAGGCAAGCCCATGGTTATAAGTTTCCGAGCCTATTCCAAGGACCAGATCATCACAATTCTTCAAGGGAGACTAGTGGTAATTTTTCTTCTCTACACTCAGTGTGCTTTGCCACATGAAGTTGTTCTTAAAAAAAAAAGGCCAAACTTCCTTGAACGACAAGATAAACATGCTCCAGATACCTCCATGGGGTGATCAAAATTCCTTCTCCTGTATGATAAATTGAGTACAACTATAGAACTCTCTAAATGTGCAAGTTGGATTTCACTCATTCTAGTAAAGGTGGCAGCAATTTCTTTCAGTTTCTAGAGCCAAAGCACTGTCAAATTGCACCACATTTTATTGCAATCAATGGTTGGAAGATAACTGAATAAGGCACAGCTAGATGATGCTAATTATTTTGGTTGGAATCAGCAAATGTCAGTAGCAGGGTTTTTTGCTCACTGAGTATTGATGCATTCAGACAAAGTAGGAGGTTATATGTCCTGGCATCCAGTGATTCCATGGCAGAATAAGAACATAGCCTAATTCGTTTGAGTCTAACTTCTCTTTCAACAGGCACTTCCTTTCACTGCCTTCCAGCCACAAGCATTGGAACTCTGTGCGAGGGTGCGTCCATTATTGTCTATTTTATTCTGTGTTTTTCAGCTTTTTTGATTCTCTTCATATTTTACATTGCCTTAAATTTGGTGGTAGATCCTTATGTGCATTACCACTGCTGTGTACATGAGTTGATGCTTATTGCCAACTAAAAAATATTTGCTCGACATTAAGGACACAAAAGCATCCTGTGTAAAGTCAGCCATGAATATCTAGCAGCTGAACAGAATTTTCTTTTTCGTTTCCAAAAACCATTATTTATCTATCATACTCTTTTTTAATATCTTCGTGTGAGACTGACAATANGGCCATGAATATCTAGTAGCTGAACAGAATTTTTTTTTTCGTTTCCAAAAACCATTATTTATCTATCATACTCTTTTTTAATATCTTCGTGNAGCCATGAATATCTAGCAGCTGAACAGAATTTTCTTTTTCGTTTCCAAAAACCATTATTTATCTATCATACTCTTTTTTAATATCTTCGTGTGAGACTGACAATACTCGTATAATGGCAGAAAGTTGCCGCTGCATCTGGGGATATGAGGAAAGCCCTTTGTGTTTGCAGGTTGGTGTTTTAATATGAGTCCAGAGTGGCTCCAATCTACCCCATTGATTGGAAACTTCCCAATTGCAAAAATCTTATGATTGATGGTACATAGAAAAATATAGTAATTCATTGCATCAAATCAATGGTACATTATATCTTGTAAGTATGATAGCATAACAATGTTTTTGTGTGTGCATCAAGAAGATAAGTGGTTGGATTTTATTGTTTAACCATTCCTTAGTAATTCAATTGCAAATGTATATATGATTTGTTAAAAAAGTTTGAGCCAACTAGTCACCCATATCCAATTTGACAAATTATCACAAAGCAACTTTTTAAATAGTATAAATCTCAATTAATAAAACTGTTACACATTAGGATTACAAGTACAATATCCTTCTTATCCTTTTTCATGTTGTTCCAGATGCGCAATTGAGATGCTAGAAGCTGAGCTAAGAGAATCTGCATGCAATCTGAATTTGTCACGCTTAGAGAGGGTGTTTTCTGATGAATGGACAGTTGCATATGAAATTTCAACAGAGCAAGAAAAAAATATTGTAAGCCCTCGCTATTTACACTATAATAATTATAAGCACAGCTTACTGAAACTTGTACTGCTAATGACACAAGTCTCTAACTAAATAGCATATTGCATGTCAGAGTGCAAAGTCTTTGGTGCGGCAGTGGAGCCAAAAGAAAAGAATAGCCATAGGTGTTCTTCTTTTTCCTTTTGTTTGGCTGTTCTCCTTCAAAACAATTTCAAAAAGCCGCTTAGAATATACAAGTACATTGAAAATGTGGTGTCAGCTTCTGGAAAGCCTTTTTAAAATATTAAGTTCATTTTATAACAGTCAACATTTATTTGGTTCTAGAATCTGGTCACATGTATTTTCCATGAAAAAACATCAGAGCTTAAATTTGATATGGACCTTTTACCACATCAAAATAAGTATCTGAATTTCACCATTAGCACCAGTAAAGGGGTGTTTGCTGTCATCCCTTCCATTTTTCATGAATTTCCTTTAATCATGTGATATTTACACTTAAGATAACCTAAAGCTGGCATACTGAAAGATTTATCGTGACCACTAATGAGTTCACTTGATTTATCAGGTCCAATAATGTTCTCCCTCAAAGACCACTTAAATGCTCAAATTTGTTGACATTGACCCATTAAAAAGTAGTATTTGAGCTTTTGGAGTTCAAAAATAAAAAAGAAAAGAATTTTATAGTTCTCAGCAATTGCATGATAGTTTCTAGCTTACTACACATTGCTAATTCTATTGTAAGCCATATAAATTCATGATACTTGGAAGTATTGGGTTAGTGAGAAACCTTTTCATTGTGAAATACGTGCTTTACTTTAGATGAGTTGAAGTGACTGCATAAGTTCTCTGGTATTTTTTTTTGGCCTTTGGTAATTTATAATGCATATTTGGTGTTTCAAATTAAATTTACTATATTTCTGTCATTAATTTCAAAAGCCAGTTATCTTTCCTCTCAAACTTATTGATGACTTCCATTGTCAAGTAATTGCCATATCCCGTTATCATGACTGTTGCTGCTTTGTAATCTTCTCTACTTGGACTCTTTTTGAAACTTGTCACAGGTAAGAGTTGATCATATGGCTGTTGCTTTGTCTAAGGCATATAGATTGCCCATGGTGGATACTATACAATCCCTCCCACAACATCAACAGGTAATTTTATTTGACTAAGGTGGTTATCTTTAATTTTAACATGACCTTCTAGCTTTACACTGCGATGGATGTAGGTATACATTGGCACTAAGAATGTTTAAATATGGTGCCTTCTGTTTCAACTTTATATTTCACAGTCAAGCCCAGGATCATTTACTTGGACTGGTTAGCATTATTGGTGCAGTTATTTTGTTATTTCCTCTTGTTGGAGAAAGTACCGACTTGGCTTGATGGATGAAGTTAAATCCCTGTTCAATCATAACCTCTTCTCCCTGTTTAAGGAATTTGCTGTGAAAAATTATTTACCTAAAATAAATGTGTAGATAGAATGCCGGTCTTGCAAGACTGGCTTCCATTTGTAAAAAGAGTTTTCTATATCATAAGTACTTGAAAGAGATTTTCAAACTAGAAGGAACCTCTAGAGAGAAGAGAAATCGTGTCAAATGGAGGCCCGGTGAGGGCCAGTCTATTTTACTTGAAATTCGGCCACAATATGCATTGGCTGTAGGGATTCTACTAGGCAAAAAGCAGAATTCACTTGTTCAAAAATATGGTCTTGAATCTTGATAATTAGAAACTGGAATGGATCAACTGTGTAGCCTTGACCAATGCAGAAATGTTGAGGCATATGTGATAAATAATTTAGCATTGGTTTGAATTCAATACTATATTTTGGTATTTGGGTCCATTATTTTTTATGAATTGGTGTCTGCAGCAAAAAAGTGCTATTGAAATGTAGGGGAGACAACATGGAATAAAATTTAAGTACAGTATAATTTGGTAGATCATGGTGGCATTGGGCAAACTTAATTAAATTTTTCTATACATTCCTAGGATGTCGGCATCATGAGAAAGACAAAATTTACAATGGCAACTTCTGTACATTAAATTTACTTATTGCAGCCCTTAGGCCTCAGTGTTGTGATGAAGTCAATTACTATATCAATATACCTTTCAATTGCAGCCCTACTTTTTTTGCCTGTTGCTTTTGTTGGTCTTGGAAGAATGTGTCCATGCATCTCCTCAAACGCAATTTTTGCTGCAGATTATACTTTGCTCAGCTGTAAAGTTTTTTCGCGGGGGAAGAAAGGATATGACTGTTGGGGAGGTACATTTCAGCCTTTTTGGCCAATAAAAGAAACATAAAAATTCAGCATTTTGAGTTTTTCATATGAATGCAGCTTAGTAAATCTTACATGGATATTTGCAAATCAACATCTATCCCACCAGTTGGAATTATGGAACTTTCAACCATGTGCAGAGTGCTAGGTGACCAGGTAACGGAAATATACTACATTGTTCTGATTGAATTTGACATAATTCTCTTCACAGGATTAAAATTCCGGATTTCAACGTTACAATAGATCTAATTTTGTTTTGCTAAATGGAAAACAATTATATTATAAAACAATAAGACATTATTCCAAGTGCAGGGGCTTCTTAAACTAGGTCAATCGCGAGAAGATAAATTGAGAAGAGTAACACTTAAGATAGATGAAGCAGAAATTACTTTCGCATTGCAGGTATGCAGACAAAAATCTGAGCCTCCAAGATCTTGTGCATTCCATTGCTAGAGCTATCTTCTTAAATAGCTCATAGGATCACTACTATACTTGTGTATCTATTAACTACTATATTATTTTGGAACAGGGAATTCGTTTCTTTCGAAATTGTCTTCAGTAATTCCTTCGGAGTTTTTTTTTTCTTATGATTCTTCATTCGCTTGTTCTTGGTCGCTGTTTCATTTCCAATTATAGGCCTCAATCCTAAATTAAAGGTTAGAAAAAAACTGCTTCCATTATACTCTGGCTCTGGATTCATCAATTGGAGTCACTTGTGCGCTGCTAATTGTCATAAGCACTGATAACAGGCACGTAGCCTAAGTTTTTCCAGATGTTGCAGTGAAGAGAGAAAGAACAGCAGTCAGTCTTTGAGGGGGTGTTTGCTGATTGTTGAAAATTGCTATGCTGACATTTCAATCATCTGTTTGACAGAACTAGTACTATTTTATTAGAAGAAAAATATGTTGTAAGGAAAATTTTGAGAACCATTCTATACAGGATCATCCTCAATTTGTAACAGAACTCATGGTTTCAATAATAAATTCTCATTATTAAAGGATATTTTCGGTCATTTTCATTATTTTTTTTCCCTCTTGGACAAGTTCTGCAAGAGACACAAGACAGTTACATGCAATGGCCTGGTAAAAACTTTCCAACCAAAAAAATAAATAAATAAAGCTTATAANGGGATATTTTCGGTCATTTTCATTATTTTTTTTCCCTCTTGGACAAGTTCTGCAAGAGACACAAGACAGTTATATGCAATGGCCTGGTAAAAACTTTCCAACCAAAAAAATAAATAAATAAAGCTTATAAATGTAGCCATTTCAATTTTGTATTTTATCTGTTTTCCAGTGATCGTTCGTTCATCCAAAGTCTTCTTAAGTTCTTTGATNAAATGTAGCCATTTCAATTTTGTAGTTTATCTGTTTTCCAGTGATCGTTCGTTCATCCAAAGTCTTCTTAAGTTCTTTGATTATTTTTTAAACTAACAAGGACAGAGAACAGATCCATGGGTAAAAATTGAAGAGGGAGAGAGAAAGAGAAAGCATTTAGCAACTCATAGGAGCAATGCAACGTCAGTTGTTAGGTTATTTANGGAGAGAGAGAGAAAGCATTTAGCAACTCATAGGAGCAATGCAACGTCAGTTGTTAGGTTATTTATATGCATTTTACACTTTTACAAATAAGTGTTTGATAAATAAACATTCACATCAACTGAGAGTTTGAATAACTCTTAAAAATGGATTAAGATTTTAAGTAACAAGCTTGCCTATTTGTTGGAAAAATGGTTGTTGAATAAGTAATTTTGGAGCACCTTGGGGCTCAAATAAAAGTGGGATTCACATTTCAAAATTGATGGGATCATGTTTAAATATGTTTTCCCCTGTAAAAAATTTATTTGGTGCAGTGCGGATTATGGGTCAGACCAAACGGATCTGAACGTGGATCGCATTTATTCTTCTAATTGAAATTCAAAATTTTGTCATTATTTTTGAATTTGATGCCACATTTAAAATGTGTCGGTTCACACTCCAAAGATGTCTTTTCCCTTTCGTTATTATTTAAATTAAAAGTGGCTCTTCAATATGAATAAGTATACTGAATAGTGATATCTCATGCCTTTTCAGACAATCCAAACAGACACAAGGGAGTCTATAAAAGAACTCCAGGGCATGTTTGGTTTTGTTTCTGAAAACTATTTTTTGTTCTCAAAATTTTGAGAAAAAATGAGATTTGAAACACAAAAATAGAAAAGAAGACTTTGTTGTTTTCGGGTGTTTTTGAGGAAAAGAAGGAAACACGGAGAACAAATTATCTCATTAAACCAGTCTTCCCTTCGAACCTTCTTAGCAACAAATAAACTCTTCCCATAAAAGGTTTTTATTTTTATTTTTGCTATTTGTCTCTTTTTCTTTTGTCCCCCTCTTTCTCCAAAATCGGAAGAAAGGAATGGCGACTGAAGATCGTCTCCGGCGACTGGATCTTATCCAATGACTGGTAGCTCTCCGACGACTGGGATACTTCATAAAGTGTACTGGTGCGCACTCTTAATGGACACAAATCCAATTGTACTGTTGTTGAATTCCACCCATTTGGTGAGTTTTTTGCATCTGATTCCATGGACACTAATCTAGAGATCTGGGACATCAGAAAGAAAGGATGCATTCACACCTATAAGGGTCTCAAACGATTTGATCATATTCTTTGTCTTCTTTGATGTGGATTTCAGATATGGGTCTTAGATCTGAGTTTTAGATCTAGGTTTTAGTTATTGGTTTGTCTTCTCTGATAACTGTTCAGATCTAGGTTCTCCGGCAACTGTTCAGATCTTGTTTTTTTTTTACTGTTCAGATCTTGATTTTTCTTTTTTTAATTTTATTTTATCAATTTAATATATCAAAATAATTTTATACGAAATTGTCTATCCAAATAAGTTTTATTGTTTTTTATTTTGTAAAATTATTTTTGAAAGTATCTAACCAAACAAATTTTTTGTCTCAGAAACACTTTTCTAAAACTCTTCTAAAAAACTATTTTCGAATACTATTTTTAGAGACGCAAACCAAACATGCCTCCAAATTCCTGAATTCTGCACTCAGTTTTCTTCTCTCTTTGCATATTGCACTATTGTTGTGACACCCTTAAAACTGGGGGTCCTGTTGACAACCCGTCAACCCGCGGAATGCCCGTGAGTGTCACTTGAGCCGACATCTCACCAATAATATCCCAATACCCGGGATTTTAACTCACATGTGTTACCCGTGTTTCGTTTTTCATTTACTCTTATCGAGGTTCAATGTACCCTAATATATCTCTTTTAAGGTCCATTTGTGTCAAGGAAACTAAGGAAACCAAGGTCCAAAGGCATAGCAAGAAATAAAATTTTTTCAAAGTTTGAGGGAGTGTACCGGTACGCCGTACCGGTACACTAAACTCTCTGGACAGTACCGTACCAGAACGCTATACCAGTACGCTTTGCTCACTTTGCAACCATGTTAGATGTGTGGTGAAAATATGGACACATTACATGAGGATTTGGAGGCTTAGAAGTGAAGAAATCAAGGAGGTCTTTGGCGTTTGGTAACAAAGGCACCAGCACTAACACCATCTGGTGGAAGTACTTCAATTTTCCTCCATGTTGACCATGATCCACTCAGAATCTAAACAGGTTCAAAACAGGAAAGTTGTAGATCTAGATGTCTTCTGTATTGTGTCAAAATGTTAGCTCAATCCAACGGTTAGATCAAAAGTTATAACAATTCTACAAAAACTGGTCTGGAGCAGAAAAGTGTACCAGTACGCCGTACCGATACGCCGAACTCCAGGATGTTTAGTGTACCGGTACACAGTATCGGTACGCTCTACTGAATGCCCAAAATTTCCTGTTTCATCAATTTTTTATTTTCAATTCATCCTAACTCATTTCAACATCATATAAATTTTGTATAATGATGTTTAATACATAAAACATGATTCATACAAGGTTATTACAACCCATTCCATATAATTACAATTCAAAATGGAATATAACCTAAGTTTTTATACAAAACTTGTTTCCAAAAACCACAAACTGGCTTTTCTTCATTTTTGAGGCCCCGAATGTGAGTCCTCCACCGGTACGAACCTCGCACCTGAAATATGTTCCCGTATAGGGTGAGCCAACGCCCAGTAGAAAATTTCGTTCAAAGGCTATTCCCCGCCTAAGTTCATATGCAATGTGTTATGCAACAAAACACAACCAAAATCCATTCCAATTAATACTTAAGCAAGTCAAGATTGAAATCTAACATACCATGCCCTGAAATGAGATGATGCTCATTCATACAATTTACCCGAGCCCTTTCCAGCTCCACAATACATGCCATGTCAATGTGTATTAACACCGAATTTTTTAGCTCCGACTATCTACCTTCACCACATGTTATGCAGTGAATATCAAACTCGGGCTCCCTAAGACCCCTGCCATTTGTGTTACACACCCAATGCCTAACTAAAATCTTCGGGTCTTTCTTGGGGTGNGTCTCCGGCGACTGGATCTTATCCAATGACTGGTAGCTCTCCGACGACTGGGATACTTCATAAAGTGTACTGGTGCGCACTCTTAATGGACACAAATCCAATTGTACTGTTGTTGAATTCCACCCATTTGGTGAGTTTTTTGCATCTGATTCCATGGACACTAATCTAGAGATCTGGGACATCAGAAANATATTTATGGATTTACACCAACAGTCACCCAACCGACATAGAATTCAAGGACTTTTACTAACGGTTCCGCATACATCGACACACTTTATGAGCTCTCATACCAACGGAAGTGTGTATCCAAATATCGGGTCTCTCACCTGCGGGATAGTCTAGCCCTTCTTGCTACCCTGACCCAAGTCTTTTTCATGCAACCGTGTGNCGATTTGATCATATTCTTTGTCTTCTTTGATGTGGATTTCAGATATGGGTCTTAGATCTGAGTTTTAGATCTAGGTTTTAGTTATTGGTTTGTCTTCTCTGATAACTGTTCAGATCTAGGTTCTCCGGCAACTGTTCAGATCTTGTTTTTTTTTTACTGTTCAGATCTTGATTTTTCTTTTTTTAATTTTATTTTATCAATTTAATATATCAAAATAATTTTATACGAAATTGTCTATACAAATAAGTTTTATTGTTTTTTATTTTGTAAAATTATTTTTGAAAGTATCTAACCAANCTATTATAACATCATGCCCACATGTAATGAATGTCATATGAGCAATTTTAAACCACATGTCTACATGTTCTATGATGATTCATATCATATGCATATAAATTCCATAAATCATCACAATGTCAATATCTCAATGANATTTTTAGAGACGCAAACCAAACATGCCTCCAAATTCCTGAATTCTGCACTCAGTTTTCTTCTCTCTTTGCATATTGCACTATTGTTGTGACACCCTTAAAACTGGGGGTCCTGTTGACAACCCGTCAACCCGCGGAATGCCCGTGAGTGTCACNCTATTAACATTTCTTTCCAACACATTTTCTAAGCATGTTACACATCATCATGTCATAACTTAATCCACACTTAGGCATTTTGACAAACACCTTTAAGGCAACAATTCTACTTATCACATAAGA